GGGCTGGCTGTACCAGGTAGACGCGGCATGTTAGAGGGCCCCCTGCTGGTGCTTCCCGAGCACCTCCTTGACAGGCAGCGAGCAGCGGCCGCACCGATCATAGAGCCGTCGGATGCGGCGGGCGGCCGTGTGCAAGTGGCAGCGGGGGTCAAGGGCCCATTCGAGGTGGCTTCAGAGAGGCCCGGGGGGCAATTGCCACCCTGCCCCCCGGCCCAGTCCGCCCCTGCCCTGAATACAATAGAATCCTTCACAAAGAGCACAAATCTCAGATTTCGGAGAAGGCACGTTAAGGAAAACCCTTGAGGTTTTAGTTTGCGTAGTAAGGCGCGTATTACATGCTGAAGGTTTCAGTGCCCAGATTTCAGACGTACACCACTACCGATCATCAATCAAATAAATAAGCCGCAAAAGTTTTGGGATTCTGTTCTGTGGAGCGATGAAACAAAACTGGTACTTTTTGGCCCTATGGTTCAGCGGTATGTCTGGAGGAGGAAGAAGAATGCAGCCTATGCTGAAAAGAACACTCTGCTTATAGTTAAAGTGACATTAAACACTCAGATTTTTTAACATAAAACAATACTGTAATGTGCGCCTTACTGTAATCCATGGTTGTTTCCCTTCTCTTTGCTGCTCTTCCTTTTAAATCTGTATCTGTTCTCATGTTAGGGGAGAAATTCTGTTTTGCAGCAGACTGCCTTGTCTCTGAAATGGATATCTGGAAGGGAATTTATCAAAACTGGAAGAGAGAGAATCTGGAGCAGTTGCCCACGCCAACCAATCAGCTTCTCTGTTTCATTTTCAAACCTTAACTGAACAAAGTGAAGAGAGAAGCTGATTGGTTGCCGTGGGCAACTGCTCCAGATTCTCTCGTCCTTGTGTACGTTTGCAACCTGAGCCAGCAGTACAGGAAGAGGCACTCAGCTGCAAAGGGAAGTTCTCCCCTAGCATGAGAAGACATGAGGATTTAAAAGGAAGAGCAGCAAAGAGTAGGGAAACAAAAAATCTGAGGGTTTAATGTCACTTTAAGCATGGTGGTGGCTCGGTGATGTTCTGGGGCTGCTTTGCATTCTCTGGTTGCTGGAAACCTGCAGAGTGTGGGAGCCAAGATGGTATGGCGTACCTGTATGGAAACTAGAGGTGCACCGAAATGGAAAAAAACGAAACCGAAATAAAAAAAATTGTCAGGCCGAAACCGAAAATGTTTTTTTATTTAAATTTGTTTCAAATTTCTTATCTAAACAGACCAGGTCAGGAATTGCAAGCCAGGATCATATACAGGAGAGCAGAGAGTTGAGGTACCAAATCAGGAGGAGGAGTCAGAGTCAATGGTCGCAAGCCGGGTTCAAACACAGGAGATCAGGAACGCAGGAACAGAATAGAGGGCACTCAGAGAAAAGCTGATGACCGCTCAGCAACTTGATCATGACTTCTATCTGTTTAAATAGACAAAGCAGGCCCGCTATCGAGAGTGCGTTCCTGTGCGCATGTCTATGAGCCAGCAGCAAAAAGTTTCCCAGCACACTCACCAGCCAGCATACAGAAAAACCTGTCTAACCGCTAAGGTTAAACACAGAGGTTTTAGATACACGCCTTCTGCACAATTGGTGAAAGCCGCACTGCCTCGTCAAGGCCCCTCTGTGTAGTGCGGTCTCCATGAGAGTCTCCATCTTGGAGGTTTTGCTTGTCTATGAGCCAAGGCGCGTTCCCCCGGATTTTTTAGCATTGGATTGCGTGCAGGGATCAGTTTGCGGGTAAGTTTCTTACAGACGGATTCAACAAAGTTTCAAGACATCTTAGGAGAAAACCTAATGCCGTCTGTGAGGAAGCTGAACCTTGGACGTCATCAGACCTTCCAACAGGACAATGATCCCAGTCATACCTCACATTCCACCAAGGCTTGGATGCAGAAGAAGTCCTGGAAGATTCTATAATGGCCATCGCAGTCACCTGACTTGAAGCCCATAGAAAATCTCTGGTGGGATTTGAAGAAAGCGGTTGCAGCACGCAAACCCAAGAATATTAGTGACCTGGAGGCCATTGCTCATGAAGAATGGACTAAAGGCCGTGACACACTGCAGGCGAAGCAGCGCGGAGCGGTGGCGCGCTGCCTTTGCGAGCAGTGTGTCATGTCATTTTCTCCTGGGCACCTCAGCTGGCGAGAGCTCGCGGAGCTGAGCGTGCCGAGATCAACAATTCCAACTTCAGCCAATCGGCTCGCGCGAATAAACCAGCGCGTCGGTATGCAACAGCTGGCTGGTTGTTACGGACAAGCCGATTGGCTGAAGGTGCAGTCAATCATCTGACTGCATTCAGCTCACACACTGCACGCAAAGCTCCGTGCCGGATAGCTTTGCTTCGCTCTGCACGGCTTCGCGTGCAGTGTGTCACGGCCTTTAGACTCCTCAGGAACACTGCCAGAAGCTGGTGTCTGGCTGTGCATCTTGTTTGCAGCAGGTCATAACAGCGAAAGGGTGCTCTACTAAGTACTAAAGATGCTTGCCATGGAGGGGTTGAAGAGAAAACGTCTTGCCGTCTGTGAGGAAGCTAAAGCTTGGACGTCATCGGATCCTTCCAACAGGACAATGATCCCCAGCATGCTTCAAATTCCACCAAGGCTTGGTTGTAGAAGAAGTCCCGGAAGATTCTACACTGGCCATCGCAGTCACCTGACTTGAACCCCATAGGAAATCTCTGGTTTAAATGAGGCGATTGCAGCACACAAACCCAAGAATATTAATGAACTGGAGGCCATTGCTTATGCGGAATTCCTCAGGAAGTCTGCCAGAAGCTGGTGTCTGGCTGTGCATCTTGTTGGCTAAAGATGCTTGCCATTAAGGGGTTGAATAATTTTGAGACTGCAGAAGTCATTAAAAGGTGCCTGATTTGCAATGGGGGTTGAATGATTTTGAATACAACTGTTAATCTCAGGACTGAATAGACAAAAACACAAATTTTGCTTCCATATATGTGTTCCTTCTGTGTATTTAGCTGTTTGCCCAGAGTTCAGAATTAATAAAAAAAATAGGTGAATATGCAGAGTGCTTTTACTTGTCATTTCCGAAAATATTTAGTGGCAGGCTACTTTTGTCGTTCCCACTGTCTTGTGTGGGATATCACACTGTGCACATCATAGTAGTCTTTTGCACTAATTAAGTAGGCCCTGACGTGAGATGCCTGACGTGTATGTTTGTGGTTACAGCTAAACCGGACATCAACATTGAACCTTCACCGGAGCCAGTGGTGGCAAAGTTGCCATATCAGACTGTAGCCATTTGTGTGGCCAGGGCAGCCAAGCCATCTGCCAACATCACGTGGCTGACGGACAAGTTGGATTATATTTCATCAGAGAGTGAACTTCAGCATGCCAACACGACGGTGACCACCCAGAGTCAGCTGAAAATGATCCCGAGAGCAGAAATAAAGGACCGCAGTGTGACTTGTGTCATCTCACATGGTATTGGGACATCAAACGCAAGGACGGAGAGGAAGCTGACCATACAGAACGTACAGTGTAAGTAGCACAATCGTGGGGTTGTACTATGTGATTGGTCCCGGTATACACTGTCAGGAATGCAAGAGAGTCATTGTGGATTTCTTTATTTTATTTGTGGGTTTCAATGCATTTGTTGTGTTTTTTGAGGATGAATTGTTCCACAGTGGCTACAGCTATAGAGGCCAGTAATGGCTTGCTTGAAGGCTCATTTACTGCTGGTTATGAATATGCAAAGGTTTTAATTTTCAAATCCTGGCCACGGTCTTTGGAAACATTTCACAAAGGAATGTAGGGTCTTGTCCTGTATTAGGAAGGGAATGTACTGCAGGGACAAGTCTATAATTTTGCCACTTTATCAATCATTGGTTCGGCCCCACCTGGAGTACGCGGTCCAGTTTTGGTCACCAGTACTAAGAAAAGATGTCCTTGAGCTGGAGAGAGTCCAGCGGAGGGCAACCAAACTAATTAGGGGAATGGAGGACCAGAGCTATGAGACGAGGCTACTGAATTTAAACATGTTCACGTTGGAAGTAAGGAGATTAAGGGGGGATATGATTTTCATGTAGATGTTCAATGGTGGTAGCAACATCAGCAATAAACTCCTTTTAAAATTAACTCCATTACAAAAACTAGAGGCCATCACCTAAAATTGGTGGAAAAAAAATTCCAGCACAAGGGGCGAAGGGGGTTCTTCACAGTAAGAGCGGTTAGGGTCTGGAACTCACTGCCACAGACAGTGATTTCAGCAAAGAATGTGGAATTGTTCAAGAAACATTTGGCCGATTTCCTAAGGGACCGTAATATACAGGGGTACAGGTACTCCTAGAAGGAGATCCTAATAGGTTGGACTTGATGGACTGATGTCTTTATTCAACCTCAAATACTATGTAACTATGAATTATATAGGCTGCAGTTGCGGAACTCTTATAATGAGAATGCTAATTTGCTGGCTGTCACGCTGACTCTTTTGACTTTCTCAGTCATTTAAAAGTCTGCAAAATCTTGAGGCACCCCAGTCCAAAATGTAAAAAAATTTAAAAAATCTATTCCAGGCCCTTATCTGAGATAGTGGTGTGGATTTTAAGGGGAAATCCCATGCAAATACACAAAAGAAAAATAGGGTTCCCCCCTAATGTCAGGATCATCCCAGCACAGCAGGAGCTGCAGCATGGCAGAGAGCGGAAGGCGACCCAGACCTGGGTGGAGGTCCACACCAGTGGCGTCACAAGGGGGGGTGCGGCCTGCAACCGGGTGTCACCATTGCAGGGGTGACATCAAAATGACAGTTTTTTTTGGTGTCACCCCCCCCCCCCCCCCCCCCCCCAGCCGGCGTCCATCACCGAGATGTGCCAGAGTTCCAGGAAGTAAAGGGAGATCTATTAATCTGCCCTTAGTTCAAATGGCCACTGTGAAAAGAATGGGGAAGAAAGTAAAAATAAGGTGTGCAAAGAATAGAAAGCCGGCAATTATGAGGAAGTATCTGCTTGTAGATTGTCATCACCTAAACATTTCTAAAAGTGTTTGTTGTCATTTCAAAGATACGAGTGAAGTTCCTCTTTCACAAACAGTAAAACTAATTCAGGGACACGGTCACCTTGCCCATGTGAGGTAGACCCACTGCAAGGGTTAATATAAATCTTGCTTGGAACTCTCCTTTTTAAAGCTTAAGGTGAATTTGTGTGTCCATGTGATTAATTGTTATTGACCAATATATTTATAGCATGGGATTTTAGCTGTATGGTACTTCCCTTCACTTATCTCCTGAAGAAGTGGACTTTGATCCATGAAACGTGTAGAGCTCACACCCCGCACCACCCGCTAAGGCCTCATTCACACAGAGTAGAGTCGGGCCCTACAGATCCGTACGACGTGCACGGCTGTATCGGGCCATTCCCGGGAGGCACAGGTGGTGTGTGTGATTGTAGGCAGCAGCCTGTTCTTCTCTATGGGAGGACGCGGCCGTACGCACACCCGAGCTGCACATCCCTGCGGGTCCGGGTGTCCGTACTCGGATGCAGATGGGATGTGTTCTGTCTGCGTCCGAGCAAGGACACCCGGACCCGCACGGATGACAGCGTACGGCCGCGTTCTCCCATAGGGAAGAGCAGGCTACTGCGTGCAATCACACGCACCACCTGTCCCTCCCGGGAATGGCCCGATACAGCCGTGCACGCCGTACGGATCTGTAGGGCACGAGTCTACGCTGTGTGAATGAGGCCTAATCCTTCGTTATATTGGCTTGGGCTGATGAAGGTGAAAATGGTTGTTTGAGGCCAAAGTGAGTTAGCAGAAACTTAGATAAAGAATCTCAGGTGGGAAAAATATAGTTGGCAGAGAGAAGGCCCATTGGAATCATTCTTGTTTTATAGATTTAGTGTACTTTAATGTACTACATATATATGTTCTTGTAAGACCATGCCTAACAGCAGAGTTACGACTGCGCATGCGCATAGGCCTGTTCACATTTGCGGGAAGCGGCGGCTACTGCGCATGCGCAAACGGCAGCTACTGCGCATGCGCAAACGGCAGCTACTGCGCATGCGCAAACGGCACATGGTGCACAGGAAGTGACTTGCTGTGTCTGGGAATGATCCTATTTAAGCTGGCCCAACTCCCAGCATCTTTGGTGAGTGGTCTTTCAGCTTGAGTGTATGTTCCTGTATCTTGCCTGTTGCCATATCATCATCGACCGGATTCCTTGACCTTGCCTGATTGCCGCCTGCCTCCGACTTCTGCTTGTCCCTGGATTCTCCTTTGCCTGCTCCTTTCGTACCTTGCCGCCCGATTGTTGCTGACCCTGGCTTGCCTGACTCCGCTCTGCTCCAGCCGCATCAGCACCTGCTTCCTGCCTCACTGAAGACGGGCCTCAAGGACCTGCCCAGGCCCAGTGTCCTGCATCGTCCGGCACCGGTGCTGCCCGTTGTTTCCCCACCTCCTGTCCCCACATTCAGGGGTGTGGAACTCGTGCTGCAAAGGAGGCCTCCTCACAACTCGGCTCCCCACCAGGTACGTGATAGTTCTTCTTCTTTTTTATCTTGTTTTTTTTTTTTGGATTTAACAAAATTCAGAATACATTGTTGTAAATTTTAAAACTAGTCTGCACTTATGTAGTACATTTTTCTGTCTGTTTGTTGCACAATTGTTAATCTCTAGTGTAAAGACAAAGCAGGCGCACTGGTAGAGGGGAGTACAGAGTGCTGAACCTTACCTATATGAATTGAGCGCGTCTACTATGAATTTTGAGGATGAACATCTCCATAGTACCCAAAGCTACAGAGACCAAGGAAGTCTAGTGTTAACCATTTTGCTGCCAGCATTGTAAGGCATAAGGCGCTGGCATCGTGTCCCTCTAAACCCTTAATTCTCAACTAGTGGGTCACGACCCCGTTTTCAGTGGGTCACCGCGTGCCTTCCACTTTTCTAGGTGAGAGGCTCCTCTGCCTCCCCCTAGCGCAGCACTGTCGGTTCTCGCGCCAAAAAGCCATTCAAAATATGCTGCCTGGCGCCGAGTGTCAGCTTGAGGTGGGGTGGGATGGGGCTATAGCCCCCAAGTATGTTTATTCTGTCCCCAATTATGAATGAACAGGAAGTGCTCTACATCACTTCCTGTTCATTCATTTCATGATTGTGGACATTGTAAACATACGCCAACTGCATGTTTGAGCAGCCTGTGTCTGTTTGCCAGGGACCTTAGTAGTCGCATAGCAGTCGCATCTGTCAGAAAATGTTAAATGCCGGTGTCGGCACGGAGTGTCCTCAGTCTGGGTGTCCTCTGGCTGGACTCCAAAACCGGACTGTCCAGGTGCAAACCGGATGGGTGGCAACCCTAATCATGTCCCCCCCTTAGCCGCCTCTTCTCCAGAGAGAACACATTCAGGTCAGGTAATCTTTCCTCATAGCTGAGCTCCTCCATGCCTCTCATGAGTTTAGTCGCCCTTCGCTGCACTTTCTCCAGTTCCACAACATCCTTTTTGTGAACTGGTGTCCAAAACTGAACTGTATATTCCGGATGAGGTCTTACTAATGCTTTGTACAGGGGCAGGATGATGTATCTCAGTAGAAAGGCATCATGGCACACTCACAAACCAGCATGTAAAACAACTTGTCTCACCACTAAGGACAATGACAGAGGTTTGGATACACGTCTTCTGCAAAGGATGTGTAAGCCGCACTGCCGCGCCAAGGCACCTCTTATAGTGCGGTCCTAACTCTAAACTATGAGAGTCTCCATCTTGGAGCACATGGGGGCAGAAGATATCCAATTGGGTGCAGGCCTGTCAGGAGGACGCCAACCTTACTGTATAACTGGTAACAAATTGTTGAGTGCGTTTGTCGTTTGTTTTGCTTTAGGATGATGTATCTCTCTCTCAGGAGTCTAGACCCCGTATAATACAAGGAAGGGTGGTGACAGATGAGGTCTTAGTAATGCTTTGCACGGGGGCAGGGTGATGTCTCTCGCTTTCTGGAGTCTAGAACCCGTATAATACAAGGAAGGGTGGTGACAGATGAGGTCTTACTAATGCTTTGCACAGGGGCAGGAGGATGTTTCTCTCTCTCTCTCTCTCTCTCTCTGGAGTCTACACCCCGTATAATACAAGAAAGTATTTTGCTTGCTTTAGAAACTGCGGCATGACACTCCGTGCTATTATTAGGTCTGTGATCTACCACAACACCCAGATCTTTCTCCATCATTGACTCCCCCAAACATACTCCCCCCAGAGTGTATGACGCATGCATGTTTTTAGTTCCCAAATGCATAACTTTACATGAGTCAACATTAAACCTCATTTGCCAAATAGATGCCAATCACACAGAACATTCAGATCTGCTTGTTAGTTGAAGACATCCTGTTAGGACTGCGCATTCCACTACATAACTTGGTGTGATCTGCAAACACAGAAATAGTACTTTTAATCCCCAACTCTATGTCATTTATAAATAGGTTAAACAGTAAGGGGCCCAAGTTAAGCTTACAGGTCTGTAATTACTTGGTAAAGACTTTGATCCCGTTTTAAATA